TTTCAGCTCAGTAGCTTTCGTAGGTTTTGAGATGAAAAATCGGTACAGACGCACACACACACACACGCACATACACGCACACACATTGCATGGATGCAAAAAGCGCATAAAAATTTAAAATACTGCTCAAAATCTAAAACATTTTTTATCAGAAAAACATAAAAACAATGCTTGTGTATTGTGGAGCTAGTGCTTCCGAGTGATCCGGTGATACAAGATTATGTACATGCTACACCATCCATTTACGTCAGAAGTTCAGTGGGCGGTTTGAAATTCATTCAGTGCTTCGGGACACTCGGCGAAGCTTATCCCGCCGTATCTTTTCCTCCTCGCTACTTCCTCTCCCTCCCCTTTCCTTTCTGTTCTCCACTTGTTTCCCAAAAACTTTTAGCAGTGTTAGGAGAGGTTACAACTTAAATCAACTGCTTGAGGGCGTTCTCGCCTGCCGCAAGGAATTCAGGAAAAAGAATCTGAATGCAAAGCGAGCTGCTGCCACTGCTCTGGCTTTCTGGATCTTCTAGCTCCTCTACAGTGATCTTTAAATTTCAGATGATGAAGAGCAAAGGGAAGACAAAAAAGAACGGTAGGAGGATATGGGGTATAGCAGTGTTACGAGGATAATATTTTTGTGTCAGCTGTTTGTCTCTCGCCCGTCGGGCATCCTTCACGCTCTGAATTTATCTGATCCTGATCCGAGCTCCACTGTAGGATAGCAGAACAGCGCAGTCTCAACGGCAACAGCTGCTCCTGGTGAGATCGCCGATGTAAAATTTAAAAGATCGTTGAATTTCAAGAGAACAGTATGCTAGAGGGCGGCCAAAAGGATTGTGATATTACGGAATCTGTCAGGAAGAGCCTCAGGGTTCGGGAGCGGCAGAGGAACAGAAGCAGAGGAAGCAACTGATAAGGCGGATCAAACGTATTTGCCAGGATAGTGCTATCGGAGAGCATCAGCAGCAGCACCACTGTTACGTTGTGCACTTATTCCTGCGGCTGCTTAAACCGGCTCGCCTTCAATTTCAAATCCATTTTTGAATTTCACCCTCAGCAGCAAATCAGCATAATCCGGCACCATGGACGCGATCAAGAAGAAGATGCAGGCGATGAAAATCGAGAAGGTAACATCGCGTTTTGCGCAGTACTCGTGCGTCTTTCATGCACTGGATCAAAGTTATAGATTATGATTTGTGCGCCGCTCGTTGAGCCTAAAATTTAGCCATTGGCGAAAATTACACTTGCCACGCGCAGCAAAATTACACTTATCCAGTGTTAGGCAAGTCTAATAATGACCGTTAAGTGCTACTTCTAATTTTTAAATTTTCGCTCAAAAAATCAAAACTGTCTTACTTTACGGAATTATCGAAATTAACCAGTCGTATTCGCCATCGGCTTGCTTGCAAACAACTCTTAAAAGAGTGACGGCCTTGCTATTAGGTAGTTTACTGTTTGCATTTGCTGCTGTTCGGGCCCTCTCCGAGTGTCTCCATCTCTCGCAGAGAAAGCGAGAGAGAGAGAGAGAGCGAACGGCGAAGGGTTTTGACTTTGATTGAGGAAATACAGTTGCTCTAACCCTCTGTGTAGTTAACTGTAAGATTTTATCACTGAGTGGCATCAGTGAATGGCATGAAGAAACGACCACTCAAGCCTCCTTGAGATAGCTGGAGTGTATGCATGGCGCAAGCAGCAGGTATCGGCTAGAGGCATGCAGTCAGGATGAAACAGCCTGTCATACTTATACCCGACATGTTAAATGCATCCTATAACATCCAGAATGTCTGCTTGTTCGATCTTG